ATATATAATCAATTTCTGTTAAGGTCAATTTCGGTATAAATAAAATCACTATTGGAACATGATCATGAATTTGTAATTCGTTTGCAATTCCAGTCTCGCTAAACTGTAGAAATCGATTCAACATCTTGAGAGGGATTTTGCTATCCATCAGAGGCAGAGTGATTTATTTAATGGAGTAATAGAAAAAATTTGATAACTTAACTAAACAGATGATCCATGTATTTCTCAACAAACTTTCGGTTTCTGATAACAGAGATATTGAGAATTATATGCCACTGTATGCTTGTTTTCGTGCAAGAGAAACTATTGGGAGATATGTGAAGTTAAGAGCAAATTATGGCAATAGCGTGACTGCCGCAGCCAGGAGTTAAAACCCCTTACCCTATTTAGATCTCCTTCTCATTGTTCATGAAAATGCCGCTTTAAGGATTGTGCACTAAATTTTAGAAATCCTTCACTTAATATGTACGTGATAGTGAGGTAACGGGGTTCGGTCAATACACCAGTGGGATCAGTCCAAAATATAGCAAAAATGATTGGTCTCTTGTGATCATACCTTGAAGACTGTTGGATACGGCAGTCACCCTACTGCCGTAATTTGCTCTTAACTTCACTTTGCTCCCAATAGTTTCTCTTGCACGAGAACTAGCATGAAGCGGCGTGTAATTNTTCGACTTTTCCAATAAATCCCGAAAAGACTGAGGCAAATTTTTGATGGCTTTTCCTCAGACAGATCAACAGCACAATTGCGAATTTTGGAAGGAGGTTTGAAAGTTGCGATTAACGGTATCGTTGTAATGGAAACTGCCACTATTGTTTCCAACTGGCGGCACTTCAGAGAGAAATTTTCGTTATTTTTCATGGCAAATATTTTTCAGCGAACATTTATAGAGAACCAAAAATGTTTTCATAGCGAATTCACAATTAGCAGAGCTGTTTTTTTGTTAGTAGCGTGCCCATCACCGCATTAGGGTAATCTTCAAGTGCTATAGTCTGATTGAATTTCAGTACATAGCTGCTCATCAATATATGTCCGATACAACTCCAGTGACACCGTATACACCGAACCCTCGTCGAAAGTCACGTGGAGAAGAGCATATGGACGCACTTGAAACGGCTATGGACACACGCGAATCGCACGCCGATATGTTTGAGTCGCACAATGAGCCAAGAAGTGAACGACGTGGATCGCGTTCGATTGTACGTGACGATGCTCGTCATGTGTACAACGAATCGACTGAGATGCACGAAAATCGTTTGCCGGAAACATCGTGTCCATTTGCTCGCATTCGAACAAACTCAGTGAGAGACACCCGAAGACATTCACGTGTACCACGACAAAATGCTGCTGACTCGCAAGTGAGTGACGATCTCAACGAAGCGGTTAATAGTTGCATCATTGGCTCTCTTCCAGTCGTCAACGGTTCTTACATTCCTTGAATACTCTGTTCATGACCTTATTATTTATTGCTAACAATTGTCTGATAAGATGGAATATTCTCCTTTTTGACTCTCATTCGATTAGTGCGGTTCTGTACATTAGTGATAAAATCAGTCGAAC